CACTTAATTTCCACAGTCACTTTAACTTAAACACACGCTATAATTCACAATGATTTACACACTTTACTTACGGTCACTACCACGCTTGACTCGATTATCTGTCTATATCTTCAATCTCTCTGTCTGCTATTCCAGTTCCGATTAAATTGTCTCGCTTTATCTGGCGCACTTATATACAGGAATAGAGGGCGTCTAGCAAATACTGGATTATTCGTGATATTCCCCGATCCTTCTAGAAACGCATCACGTGTTACCAGCGTCACGTGACTTCCGCTGTCGTAACAATATAATTTGTTTATATTTAGTTTTGCATAAAAAGTCTGACCAGAAAGCTATTGAAATGGCCTTGTTCTAGTTGCCTTTTTGTGGTTCTCTATATTAGATAATATTCATTCTGCCTTAGTAGATATTGTGATGCATCCAGGGTGAAAGAGTCGACGACTTTGCTAGCTGAGTGGGTGATATCTATATGTTTTAGCTAAAAAATGCTGTAAAAGAATGGCCAATCACATGTCATACTATTACAAACATAAAGAAACCGATGTTTTCTGTAACAGTACCGAGCTTCAGTTTCTTGGAATTCTATTTGGTTTTCATCATGAATAGTTCAACAGAGATTCATCTTGAGAGACAGAAAGATAATTATATTTTTCATTGATCTGGTAGGGGTGATCGTCTACTTGTCTAAGTTGGTACACCCACATTGTTTTTGTTGGTGTTGTAGTTATTGTAATTTTGAAGAAAAAAATTGTTTTCACTGTCTATCATATGTGTCCAACATGTTGATTTCTCATGCAACATAAACTTCAGTAGAGTTAACAGATTCAGATTACTCACAAATTTCCTATTCAAACCTATAGTTATGAAGTGGGTCTGTTTAATACTTGCACGGAAACCAGTTCACCTGAGAATACCACAAATGTTAGGTTAAACATAATACAAAAAGCTTCAGAAAATAAATCATGTGTCGTAATTTTTCAAAGTGAGTTTGTTTGTTTTTGAATTTCGCGCAAAGCTACACGAGGGCTATCTGCGCTACCCGTCTCTAATTTAGCAGTGTAAGACTAGAGGGAAGGCAACTAGTCATCACCATCCACCGCCAACTCTTGGGCTACTCTTTTACCAACGAATAGTGGGATTGACCGTTACATTATAACGCCCCCACGGCTGAAAGGGCGAGCATGTATGGTGGGACGGGGATTCGAAACCGCGACCCTCAGATTGCGAGTCGAGCGCCTTATCCACCTGGCCATGTCGGGCCCCTTCAAAGTGAGTTAAATCCTTAGTGTAATTTAAACTTTAAAAACTTGACGAATAAATTCGTGCTTTAAAATGTAGTTCAAAATTATTGTCTATGGAATATTGTTATGGGATTATGACCCAAAACCTTTGTTATAGCAAGATTGCTTGCTATAACTGTTATGAACATTTCATCTCTAATAACTAATTTTTAAAATGTGCTGTAGTAATTAACTTAAAGTTAATTTCAGATTCACCAATACATACGAAGTGTCTTTACTAAGGTAAATTTTGTTTTAACAGTTTTTAAAACTTTTTATTGGGATGTTCGGACTACTTGCGTTCAGAATTTATGTTTATTTAAAAATCAAGTTTCAGTAACCGTATTGGGCAAAATACAGGTAGCCCATTGTGTAGTTTTGCGCTTAACAACAACCAAACTCAAAAATACCTTAAGTTTATTAATATTATAAGATGGAATGCTAACCAAAACCGTTGTCTACAACAAATTATATTAGGCTTGATAGATAATTCATATATTTTATTATTTTCAAATTAATTCATATATGTGTCATACTGCTTTAATAAACTCTGTGAAAGCTACAGAATAAGTACATATAATAAATATACAAAACTGTTAAGGTTTGGAAAACAAAAGCATTGGCTTGTAATAGGTGTAAGTTAAAAATTCAATATTACTTATCAAGTGAGGGTGGCGCTAGTGTAACACCACACCGCGAAGCGTCGGATAGAATGGCGAATTATTACTAACATTAAAACATTATAAAGAATAACTATTGTTTGAAAATAACCTTATTCATTATGTTGGGGTTATTTGACGTCATTTCAAGCAGCGAAACATATTCTTTGGATCTAAAATATCAGTACCTTGAAGCAGTAGACACGTTTCAAAGTTTTTCTGGACAAGTATGTTTTACCATGGTATTAGTAATTACTAAATTAGTAAACTATTTAAAATTGTTATTTAAGTAGTTGGTCAGTTCAATATTTAATGTATCGAGAAGATAGTGAAAGTAAAAGTTAGTTTTTAATTTGAAAGTTATTTGTATCGTGCACTAAGTTAGCTCAAACTTCGAGTCGAAGTACTGCAAATTATTGCATATTTACACTAAGCCTTAACGTAGTAACAGTAACTCAGGAAGAACAGTAAACAATTGTCCAACTCCATACTGACTTACACGATACAGTTAGTGTTATTACTACTTAATTAACTTAAGGTTAAACGTAAGTCTTATTATTAAAAGTTCAGTCTTACTCTTAGTCTCAGCTTCCTTTAGTTTGCTAAAAATAAAATATTAGTGCCTACCTTTTTTTAGGTGATTTATCATTTAACTTTTAACCAGTGGGCTTCACAGCCAGTAGGCTAGGTGTCTGAAATTAATGATGATTTTAATTAAACGTGAATTTTTGCAGTAAGGTAAATTTAGCCCTTAAGAAAACAGCAAACATTTTTACCAACAATGCATTACAGTCAGTTTCCTTTGTTAAAAACAATTGCAATACAATTTTCCTTATTGAAATAACACATGGAATACAAAAGATGTTTGTAAATGGCCTACTAGACAATCATATTGCATATACATTCTAATCCAAGAGATTGGATTGACTGAACATTTTATATTTATTCCTCGGTATATTTCGGAAAATTACCATTGAATTGTTTCAACAGGCATCTGTTAATCTTAATCTATTTTGAAAATATCAGAACATAAACAAATTATTTACAAAATTGTTACTGTAGTTACTTAAAAATTAAGTTATTTTTCTTAAACATGATCATGAAATATCACAATCACAAAGTACATACTTCCAGTTAGAGTAGTTATTTCTTTTACATTGTATCCCAATTGAACATCCTGTTTAGCATGTAGCAGCTATAAAATTACACTTAGTTGAAATCATTACCAACATACACCATAAGAGAACATTCACATTGCTAGAACTGTTTAGTTTCAAAGATTTTGTGAAACTGGAAGACAGTGAAATATCTGGGTGACAGAGGTAAGAGCTTTATAGTATAGTTTTTATAACACTTCCTGAAAGTAAGATTTACAATTGTTAGGAACATCTAATGTAACCTACAGACAGCAAGGATCATTTGGTTCTTCAAAGCTATCTTTGCACACCCACCCTTTACTTTTCAGAAAATTATCAATTCCCCTTTTAAGTTCCTGTAAAGTGTTGCCCTTTACTATTACAAATGGCAACTCATTCAATAAGTTCATCAGTCGTAGAAATACATAACTATCTTAATTGGAACCGAAGTTGTCTTTTCCAGATCATAAACTTTTGGCCTATCATCTTACTATCTTAGAATATAGCACAAATAAATAGAGGCCTTTTTTTTAATCAATCCCCTCGATAATCTTGTGAACTTGAAGAAGATCACATCTTACCTGTCATTTTCTCAAGAGAAAATAAGTTCAGAGGCATTAGCCTATCCCTATAAGATAACTTATTATTATCATCTTATTATCTCTCCTCTGAATCCTTTTCTATAAGTTACTATCAATATTTATGAGTTGTGACTTCCTTGAAAAGTTTTTAATGATCAATCTCAAGAGAGAAAATAATATTGTTTTAGCATCAGATGTTGGATGTTACTTTAACTTGCACATGTTCTGTAGTTTATACAAATTTTATGCAGTTACAAAGGAATGAACCCTTTTTTTTTTAAATATACATTACGTACATGTTGCTATAGTTAATATTATTGCTTTTTCCTTTTACTGAAAAATGATGTTTAATTTTTGTTTCATATTAGAGTTCTAAGAACATTGAAAATGTTACCAAGGAAATCAAGGAGAATCTAAAAACTCCTGAAAAAAGGTAAAAAATGGACCTTGCAGCATTTCTCAAGTTAAAATGTTTTGAAAATGGGAAATTTGAGTCTTTAAGGATACGGCATTAACATTTGTATAAAAAATATAACTTTAGTGAGTAATTAGAATTTTGAATTACATTGACGGCCAGTAATGTGAGGTGTCATGTTGTTTATATATTCAGTCATTTGATTTTGACAGTGACAGTTGTTGTAAACATTTCTGTGGTAAATTATTTTTTTACTATTAATAAGTGTTTTGATTATCTCAATATGTCAGTTATTGTTTTGTTTTATATATACTGAGTCTTAAACAATGAAGATGAGATTAATTAAGGTAATGGTATTTTTTATTTTGTAACTGCATGTTGTTAAAACAGCCCAATTTTTTTTACTCTCGTGTACATTCTATAAGATAATTCAGTTTTAACTTAAAACATGTTAGCTACCGTTGGGTAACAAGAAGTTTGATCAAATAACAGATATTATTTTGTACAAGCTAAAAGTACTATAAAATTAAGAACACCTGTTTAAAAATCAAAATTGAACCTTGCAGTAGTGACTGAGCATTTAATGATGAGAGTGATAGCCTCTGAACCCATTCTCCCTTACACACCAAAATGATTCATGAAGTATTTTGCACCTAGTAAGATTTGAGAAGACCGATTACATCTTGAAAACCTTGTTTAAAAAACATACAGAAAAGCTGCCTGATTAATAAAGCCCACAAATGTAGTTGCAGCAGATCTTGGAAAGTAAAACAACCAAACATAATGTAGATAAAAAGAAGAAAGAAAGAAATATAAATCTGCAACAGCTTATTGACACTATAAACGTGAAACTAGTTATTAATTAAACAATGAACTAAAATCAAGAAAGAAATGAAGATGACAAAAACTGGGCCATTTTTATCGATGATATTACAGCTTCAGATCATTACAGAAGAATTTGACAACATGCTCTTTAATCATTAAAAGTACAACAACAAAACTTGAAGAAGTTTACAAGTGACACTGGTAATTTGGCATAAAATGTTGCACAATGCTTTCTAAAACAAAAATATATAATTATTGAAGTAGAAAAATCGAAAATAGTAAATACACCAATTCTCAGATCGATTGAGTAGCTTTTATTTTGAAAGTCTCGACATTTATAGGATGCTGGTCATTTCCATAAACATGTCAACTATCAAATTTTTTTCAATAAATTAATGTTACTGTAAAAAAAAAACAGACATGAAACAACAGTTGTTTAGGTAACTTAAATTATCCATGTTTAACCAAAACATTCAAAGATAAGGCCCTCAAATAACAAGCTTTATGAAAATTACTTCCTTTGCAGAAACAGTAGTAACTTAATTTTTATTTTTTATGTATTGATTTTAAATTAAATTAATTTTACAGCAAAACATCAGACTTTGAGAAAGGGAGAGAAAAAAAAAAGAGAGATAATGAGTCAGGTTGAAAGTTAACACTTTAAAATTAATTTGTATAAACTAATGCAGACGTATGCATCACTTTTGTTACTGCATACATATAAAGATTCAGAAAACATCAGTACCTTCTACATTCTGTGAATTGAATCTGTGAGAACAGAATCAGTGGTAGATATTGGTTTCCAGAAGATTTTAGAACTAGTTTTCACTGGATGTTCAAACAAAACAATAAAAGACTAATTTATGTTCAAACGTGCTGCTGATTAATTGTAGTGATTACTATTTTCTTAAGAAGATAACACACTGTTATTTATTGTCTTCAAGAATTATAAGTGAGTTATACGAACTTATTTCCTATCTTTTCAAGTGCACACTTTCCATTATTAATTAAGCAGAGACAATAGGTGCTTGCACCTCTTTGTATCTTAGGTGTCGCTCACATTAATTGAGAAGAAAAGAAAAACATGTAGTGAAATACCAATAAAAAGAAAACACTCCCATTATGCGTTAAAAAAACTTTTTCCCTACTAATTTTCTTTCTTGCTTTCGTTGCTCATAGAGAATTGTCTGCTTAACCCAAGGATGCATGGGTAAAAAAATACACACAAATGCATAGTAATGGGTCCTACAAACCCTTCATTATATTACATGGGAAATGATAAGCAAAAATAATTTATTTGTAATAAACATAGTATATTTATTAAATGTAAACAACTGACAAAAACCTAGGATGTCTGTTTAAATATACAAGAATGTATGCTCTTTTATGCTTCTTTCAATTTTGTAAATTAACTATTAAATGCAGGGTATTTAATTTCTAGAATTGAGCTTGACTAGATATTGTTTGGAGATAATTAATGGATCCTAACAGAAAACAAGAATGGGATAACTAAAGAAATATACAATTGGCAAAGAAAAAACCTGGTGATTCTGTAACAGACTAAATGAAATGCCACAATGTATCCAGGGTTAAACAAAAACATTGTATTAAATATAACAACAGAAATAAAAAAACAACATTCAAACAACTAGAAAATAAATGTTATCACTTACAACTAGCAATTAGTAAACCCATGTCTGATCAGGATAAGGTACAAATGTTAATAAACAATACAACATAAATCTCAGTGTGTTTAATTTAAATAAATATCAAAAGGATTAGCAAAAAGAAACCAGAATAATATAAAACTTAATTCGCTATAGGTAGCTTGTTTTAGTTTCATAATACACACTTACATACATCAAAATTGACATGTTCTAGATAGAAAGTGGATTAGCACTTTAATGTAAATTAAAATAAATGATAGAAGTGATAAATAAATAAATGGTAAACAAAACCATAACAAAATAAAAGTAGAATTCACTATCTTACAACTGTGTCCAAGAAACCCCTCCTATGCATCTTAAGGTTATAACATGTGATCATCGGGTAGTATTTGACCACATTGGAAACATTCATCCTTTGACATAGGTGAAACTAAAATTAGAACCAAAACAAACCCTAAGTGAAACCCAACTATTTTAGCTCTGATTGGGAGATTTTAATAATATCTAAACTATAGTTTATTGTAATATTCTAAACTTTTTGTGATTTGCCTGAGTATTTTAAACTTAGAAGGGTTTTTGTCTTTTTTTCATCTCATAGATTTTTAGATTGATACATTCAGAATTAATAACTTTTTCATCATCATTGTTAGGACTCATGGATTACTATTACTTCAGAAATTTCTTGGACAATGCTCGTCGGAAGTTTTTATGGAAAACAGCCTATCATGGGCTCATTCTCTGTCACTTATTTTAAAGGTAATTATAGCCAATCCATTAGAATTATTTTTATATATTCGAAGAATACAGTTGTACCTATATATATAAATTAGAGCACTAGCACCAATTGATGAAGTTTTCTATGTAATATGTCTCTTTATCAGATTTGAAGTGTTTTTTCTTTAAATTCAACCCTACTGTAAGAAATATAATGCATATGTTTACAATCATTCAGGGAAAATATGAATGTTTAAAGAATATCAAATCTGTAAATAGAGCTGAGTGATTATGTTGATTAGTCTCCCATAAACTAATGAATTAATTGATTAAGGTCACAAAAATAATCAGTTAATAGAAATTATGATTAAATCAATCATCACAAAAATAATCAACTAATCAAACATAAGGTTTTTGATCATTTGGAATATCCAATTAATTGAAGTATTTGCCATTATGTTTGTTTGTTGTTAAGTTTCATGATTTGAGAGTTTTGGGTTTGATTCTCATTGCCACTGAATCTTTGTTATTGCAAAGCTACTTGTGGGCTTTGTAATTGATTTTATTACTAAAGTCACAAGAATTGTGTAGTTATAAGTAGAAAAACAATGAAAATAATAAATGTATCAGTAGTGCTAGTAGAGGTCATGATGGAACCATTACTCCCATCTACTACAACATCTTGGATCATCTCTATTTTTGAGTAACAGTTTCTCAAAGAATGGATCTCTTACTTTTAAAAGAATTTGAAACACACATGAATCACATTTGAAAAATGTTTAATGTAAGTACTCCATCTTGCAAGCTTTGACATTTCTCTATTTTAATTTTTTTATGGACATCGGTATTATTCATCAAATATTATGTATTGATTTTTGCACATTTTGAAAAGTAATTTTATTTTTAACAATAAAATAAGTATTCAACTAACTTATAGATGATATAGGCCTATAACCAAAATTATTCATTTTTTAAATACATTATTGATGATATTTTAGTGTGATAATTATTAACTTTGTATAGAAATGTATTTTTTGGAAATGGCACAAAGTAAGTTATTTATTTTTATCAAGAAAAATTCACTAGTTTTAGTATAGTTGTCTTATAGAAATTGCAGGGAGAAACCCATGGAATGCTTTTTATCATATTATTTTCAGGTTGTCACAGGTTTTTTACAATTTTGCATGTATGATATATTTTCATGTATGACAGTTTAACCTTTTACTACGGCTAGGAAGTATATTTCCCAGTGCTCCCACCCCCTCAGACTGCCACTGGGACAAATGTTTCCTATTGTCATTCAAAAATGCTGCTCATGACGTATGGGAGTAAAATTAGTTGGAAAGTATTTATTGGCATCCCACCTAATGTTGATATATAGTTTCCCTCAATGTTTTCCACTCGGGCCTTTAGTAACCAACAAGATGTCTAAGCCGAATGTAGAATAACTGCGTGCTGACCATGCCCGCATCGCTAGAGTGGCAAGTAGTAACCCTAATTACTATGTAAATATGCTCGATGCACTTGACTCGGATAGCTTAGAAGATAGTGAAAGTGTATCAGGTGGTGTTCAAATATGTGACGATGAAGAGGCAATAAGACAAAAGGATGCTAGCTCTCCATCTATTGATGATAGTCAAGATAATGAACCTGGACCCAGCATAGGAAGGCGATAATAATGTCGAAAATGGGGAAACATTTGTTGCAGTCACTGTGTGAGGGAGTGGGAACATTGGGAAATATACGTCCTAGCCACAGTGAACAGGTTAAGGTGAACAAAATGAATTATTCTTAAATTATTGTACATGGAGACAGTATTTCTTCTAGGTTTTCATATATATTTTCACCACAAATTTTGAAGGCAAGTTTATATGTTAGTTCTAAGAATTTAAAATATTTTAAAACACTTATTTAGTGTAATTAATAAAGAAAATAGTTAATAATTTTGCCTGTAAACAAAACAACCTACCTGTCATTTTTTTTTATAACTTTTATGCCCATTCCATAAAACTAACCTTATTAAGAACTTATCACTCCTTGAAAACATATTATTTATTTCTTGCCTTTCAAGTATATCCCTTTTTTTATGCAGGCCGTGGTTGAAATCTTGGAATATAATGTCATATCAATTAGTTTAATCATTTACTAATAAAACACAGCTTTGAAAACAGCTATAAAGAAATATATATATATGATTGGATAGAACAAGAATTAGATATCACGTATTAATAGAGTAAATATACAGTTTTTGATAGTTTCTGTAAACATTCCTTTCATTGTGGGTTGTGAGAGTATTTGTGTGTTAAATTATATCTGTTTAAAAGCTACAGTAATTGCCTTCAATGAAAAGACATCAGATAGCTTGAGATAAATTAACTTATAGGGTCGGGTTGAATGGGTAATACAGTAACAAATGTACAACATTTGGAGAAGGTTTTGTCATCATCAGGTTTAAGTAGCATATCTAGACTTAGGAATACACGTACAGTACAAAGCAAAAAATGTCAAATGACAGGAGATTGATGTTTGGTTCTTGGTTTAAAATTATAGTGGTTTTTACCTTTTAATAGATATAGTATGGTTTTATTGAATTGCAATGTTTGTAAACATGAGGGTTTTTTTTTATTATGTTCACCAAATAAATTTGTTCATTAAATATCAGATAGGTTAATTTTACCATTTAGTGAATATGGTAGACAATTGCAAAATGTTGTAATGACTCAAAATCTGTGTTGAATATCATTTATATGTTTATCCTATTGAAACGTGCATAAATAGACTACCTGGCTACTTAATTATTTGTAATTTTGATGTGTGTTTGAAATAAAGACATTATTAACCTATCATGAAAGTAAAACATGTTTTTATTATTTAGTTATCAATTTATTTGATTCACAGAAGATCAATATGAGATTATTGCATATTTGAAATACAAACAATGCTTCTGTGGGTTGTAGAAGGCATATTAATGAAATGTAATCAATTATGAGTATTGAGCCCATTGATTAATCAATTAGCAACTATTACTAACTGCCCAGCTCTATGTGTAACTAAAGTTTTAAAACTTTTTGCTACACTAATTATTAGTTCAGCTTTAAAGGGAAAGATAAATAAGTACCTCCTATTATAACACAGTTAACAAAACTCTTTAGAATCTGTTCAAATAATACTTTTGGTATGAAAAATATGTGATAAGTGTGTATTAGTCTGTCTTAGATAGTTATCTTGTAGACCTGACAGCAGTAACAACAATCTGTTTATATATAGTACAGTCTGATTAAGCTTAGATAAAACCTTGTACTCAGTGCTATCAGTGACTTGAGTGTGACTTAAAATTTGACAAACTACATAGTCAGAATTCATGTTAATTGGGAAAAGCGTGTTATCTTGTGAAATCGGATTAACTTAAGTAAAACCAGATAATCAGAATCCCTAGATATAATTATCTAAATATCACATTTTACAACATTTCCTTTACATATTTTTTTTTTAACCACAAACAGTCATGTTAGGTCTGAAGAAGGACTTTTAGTGGAAACAATCCCCAATTTTTATGCATGTAATTCTGGTTATACAAATTCTTGTGTTGTGTTGTATAAGTTTTTTTGAAATAAAATGTTGCTTTAAAGAATTACCATTTCACCCATGTATTATATATACATATATATATTTTTTTTTAAGACAGCTGAAACAGTTTTGTTATTATTTCTACATATTTTACAAAACAAGTAATTGTTATTGTTATTTTTAATCTATGTTTAGAATAATTGCATAGAACCCAAGCATCTAGCATGTTCTATACTGTCAAGAGTGTTAGAACATTTGCCTTCATTTCCCGAGCTTTGGCGGGAAGCAGCAGGAAGAATTATACCATCTCTTGTGGAAACACTAACCCATACACCATCACCAGAAGAGGTAATATTTTACGACGTATTTCAATGAAAAATATATATTTGTGCTAATTTACTATAAAGATATTTTTACTATTGCTAAAGGCCTGAAAACAAAACTTGCTTAGCGGTACATAATAAAAAATCAACACAAAAATGTTAATGCAGTTAGTCAGTTTCTGTATGCAAAACAATGCAAGAACTTCTGTTAACCGTACAAAATACTATTATTTTTATTTCCTTATCAAGTACATGTAATTTACAATTCATAATTGTACCCTAAAATTCCTAAATTTTTTTTTTCATGTTTAACTCTACATATATTAGTGTCTCCAGCAAATTTTCTGTCGGCCGTACCCTATCCAAAAGATTTAAACATGATGAGTTTAGTAAATTGTTGCAAGTAATTTTAACGATATGTAACAATTGTAACATTTAACATAGCTGCTGATTTGTATCTGTGGATTTAAAGTGACATTAATTTTTTTTATCATCCATTTGATGTTGATTTTGAAATGAAAATGTAACACCAATAATATATCAGTTTAATTTCATTACTTTCTGAGATTTTTTAACTTGTTGCTAATGTTTGCAGGAGAACTAACAAGTACTCTTAAGATCAGCTAAGTGACTCTCAAAGATGTAGTCTTATGAATTGTGGGAACTCCTAACATTCTGTGGCCATGTCATGTGCTTGATGTTATCCTCTATTTAGCTAAATTAATTAGTACCACCAGAAACACCATGCTACGAGAAGCTCTTTGTGCTAGTAATTACTAATCGTAGTATTCATACCTAATTGAAGAAATTGAGAAAAACTGGACTTCTGGGAAGTACTGCACAGGAAGAGTGTTCAGATTGTGCTCTTTAGTTATACGTAACTCATTGCATCAAAATTATTTGATGTACAGAGCTCAAAATGTTCATATATTTTACTGATATAAACTGTAATGTTTTTATATATCAAAAATGGTACCGTTTATTGAAAAATAATAGTTTTTTAAGAACTCCACTTTTTCAGTACTACATTTAAAAATTATATCAATAACAATATGATCAAACCCTCACGTACAGTCCTAGTGAAAGTCACGTTCTTGTTGTGAGGAGAGTACTTTTAATTTAAACTGTGTTCTATTATAAAGAAATGGTTTTTGTACATACCACAGTTATTTTTCTAATAGTCCAAATCTTGAATACCCAAAGTGTGAAATTTTTTATGGATTTTTGTTTTTGGTGCCATTCAATAGATGGTGCAGGAGATTTGGTTGCATACATAGATGCTGTGTCCATTATAATAAGATTATACTTGTACTTCAACCAGTTTTATGATGTAATTAGATGTGGCAAATAACTAGCATGTTCTAAAACTGTGTAAACATGGTTTCTGTTCTAACCATTATTTATATGTTTACAATCTGCAGATGCTAGATGACTTGATGATGTGCTTATCACACTGTATGCTGAAATTTCCTGGCCCATGTGGTCAGTTTAAGGTGAGTTTTTGAACTTAGTTTAGTATATTTCACACTTGTTGCATGGTGTTACCACCATCTCGGTACTGCACATGCTTGTGTGTTTTTCATAGATAGAATTCCACTTATTCTTTTGTAGTAAGTATTCTGTTGTATGTAATGATGTGAACCTAAGGACATTGTTATTCCAGATTTTAGTCTCCATTTTTGTTGTTGTCATTACCATATTGTGTTATGTAGAAAATATTTAATGAGAAAATAACATGTGTGCGTATTTAGTTGTTGTACAATATTAATATTTTTTTAAATTATTTCACTGAAAGTACTTACAAGTTATAAAATATATGTCTGTAAGGAAAAAATAAAATCTAAGAACTTGTATGCATCATGATTGTCTCCCGGGGGGCTCGGCAGTAAGTATGATGGCTTAAAAGGATTGCTAGGAAAAAAATTGTCAGATCAGTTTTGTTTACTTGTTTAATAGACTGTCAACTCTTTCTCTTTTTTTACTGTTTAATTGTAAGATGAGTTCTAATGGTAGAAGTAGCACTAGTCAGCAGTGATTTCAGTGTTTGTTTTGTAACTCTGACTTATAAGTATCGATTATCACACTTTAGTACATAGCGACACTCACTTGAAAATATTTTATGTCATCTGAAGGTTTACGTGTATTTGTTCTTTGATAACTTCTATTATGATTGCCTTTATTGGTTCTTAATTGTTTTCAGAATCGTATTGAACTGTTTCTGTTGACTCACTTTGACAAATGGAAGTTCAGATCACCTGAGGTAAGTTAATGGATTTCATGGGATAATCCAACATTGATCAATATTGATCATCGCACAGATCTCGTTTGTACAAGTCAAGTCATTAAGCCTATGTAATATAAAGAACAGATATTTTGTCCGTGCTTTTTCGAGGTAGTTAAATTAAAAAATTGTGTGTACCACTCACTTTAAAAGGACTTTCATTAGTATAACATGATTGTATTTTTTGTAATCTGTTTAAGTAACACTAGGCAGTTCTAAGAAGCAAGCTATTTAAACTTGTAGGAAGCATGTGTGCGTGTAATATTAGCTCTATCGAATAACCAAATTATAAGTAAAAAATGATAGTTTCAAGCTATATCAGCCCTGAGCAATCCATCCAAGTCAGTAACGATTGATATCCTATATCCTGAATTATCAAATGCTAATGTGTTCCTAGACGTGCTATTGGGATTACTTAACCCAGGCCTCGACAAATCCCGGGCACCAGGTTAACCATGGTGATTAAAAATTTCATCGTACTGCCTGGTATTTTCTCCCATTTTATTCATGTGTAGGGCTGTGTTAATTAGAACTCGAACCTAGAAGAGTTCTGAACTCTTGAAAGTCTGAAACTATTTTTGCATACTTTGAGTCCTAAATCAAACTTAGTTTACAGGAGTTTAATGGCAGGTTCAACACTTCATGTTTTTTCAGGAATGAAGTACTGCGGTTGCACAACACATTAATAATTTTGTGCCATTTTGTTTTTCTTCTTTCTCAATTCAATCAGTCAGCAAGTGTGTTTATACTCAGATGGGACCAAAGGCAGTAAGTTCAAGCAATACTATCAAGTGGCTGTTGATATCATGTGATTGTTAACATGCACTTGTTCTTGTGAAAGTAAATAAATATACGTAGCCCTCGTTTCCTGGTACAAACAGTAGTGAAGCTTGGGTTAGGCACACCTGGCTCTCAAGTTTTTGGGCTGGCTCCTAGATATGAAAATATTTGTTGAGACCCGACACAACCCTCTCACTTTTGGCATGGTCGATATGGCCAAATTCATAACCCCAAAGTAACCATCAGAGCTTTCATACTATAAATTTTAATGTGTTCGGTGTATCTTCACGAAACTAGATAAGCTTTCAATAAACATTACACATTTTTTTTTTACACAAAATTAAAAAATTTGTCTGTGAATATGTGGAGTCAGTGTAGATTGGTTTGAGTGCAAAGTGATTTTCATGTTAAGTTTAAAAAACACTTCTTCATCTGAAAATTGTCAAATTTCATTTGCATAATCTCTAAAACGTCTTAAATAAATATCAAACGTTTTTTTATTGTAAAACTTTATATTTTAACTACTATTTTCTCTACCCAAACTCTATATGCATTTGGTCAATATGACCAACCTTGTAACCACCATAAAAAATCCAAAATAAACCTAAATTACCCATTTTTCTTTCTAGAATGAATGCAGATTTGGATATTACAATTTTTTATCGCCCTTTGACCCATGTCTAATTAATAATCCTTCCACACATGTTGTAAATCACTTGGTGAACATGTAGCTCAAGTTACCATATCGAATTACATAATGTACAATCTGCTTGCTAGCATATCTCAAGAAGATTTATTATTTATGTTTTTCATGATCTTACCTAATCTATCCTTATTTGACCTAATAAGTTGCTAATTTTTACGTTTTAATTACTTTCGTAATAATAATGAACATGCATGAAAAACAAGAAATATCATTTACCTCTGACCTCTTGCTTTTTTGCTGTCAGTTGCTAATGAAATTTAGGCCTATATTTTTATACTAATAGTACTAGTGTACTAAATAATTATTATTTACTTAATTAATGCACCTAAGAATACAGAATATTAACACGCACAAAGCAAATAATGAGGATTATTTAAAATATTTCCTTCTCAAATTAAGAAATTAAAAGTTGTATGTTAAAATTTGATTCATGAACTATATTTTATGCAAAGTTTTTGTATACAGTGATGATAAAGTAGTTTAATTAAATTTGAATGTAACTCTGTAAAAGGTCATGACATGTGCACTTTGACCTACCCATTGCAAGAGGATTGACAAAAAAATAGTTAAATAGCGAACTCTATCTTTGTTTTAAATATTATTCAAGGTTTATCTGTATTGTGTTGGCTCATATATTTACAACCAGTACTTAGGAGTTAGATATTCAAAAAAGGCAACTTTTAATACCTTTAGAGAATTTACATTTTATCAGAGATTTCATTACTTTCTTTAGTTATAAAGAGCATTAAAATATAATAATTTGAAGAATTTATTTCTTATTTTAAGTTTGTTCAAAACAGCCTTGTAAAATTTTCTTTTATAACAAACATATTAGCCTCATTCCCACAATATCTAGGCCTAGAAAATTCATAAACTTCCTCCCATAATTTCATAAAAATTGTTGTTATATGTCATTTATGTTTTCTCATTTCCTAATTCTACACATTGTTCACCTCTGAAAATGTCTTGTTTTTAACATTTACAACTGTGATTTTGTAATTCTAATGGAAAAATTGTACAGTATATTGTATTTGGTACGATGTTTTGACACAAATAAGTTCTAGGCCTCATTTAAAGGTTTCTATATGAAATCCTATCTCGATCTAATAATTAAATGGTGATATTAAGACAGTTTTGAGACTACTGTTCGTGAATTTTGTTGATGTGACATTTTGTGGTCATACGGGTCACAGTAACATATTTATAGTGAGAGGGAGTTAGTTTAAAGATTTGGGGATACTTGTGTAGAGTTTATACAAATGCATAACATCAAAAGCACCACTGACAAAGAAATTATTTTTACAATCATCAGTATTATTTTATTGTATCCCCAAGTGTGCGTAAAATGTATAGTTCATGACTAAGTTAATAACCAACATATATATATATATATATTTTAAATATTTCACAAGTATGTGTTTTTTATATAAATATTTCCCTTACACAAGAAAAACAACAATATTGTAAATAAAAAATATGTAACTTAGGTTAAAATTTCATCTAAAAAATTTACTTCACTGAAATCTCAGTTGGACTCACACCAATAGTTCTAAAACAAATAAAAATATGTGAAAATTAATAAAAATAAATAAATAAGTACTTTAAAATAAATCTTAAGAATTCTTGAGATTTTTTTTCAAACTTTGATGCTTTGCATGACATATTGCCATTATCAAACTGGTGTATTAAGTGTTTTACACCCACAAAAAAAAACCTATCATTCTATAGGTATTTGAAGAACTTGTACCATTTTATTCATATTGCCATTAATCCAAAAGCTGTAAATTATTAACTTAAAAGAATTGCTCTAGTGTTCCTGTTACAAATACCTTAGTTTATTGACGTAAAGTAAAAGTTTCTTTGGTAAAATTTTAATTGATTGACTAAAACTGTATGTTTATATCTTATTGTTTTATTTTACCACAATCATATGTAATATTATTCAAAAATTGTTTTTATATCCAAGAGATAGACATAAAAAGTTCTGGGAGATTAAAATATTTTTATAACAAAAGACTGCTAAACTATTACTATTACTAAAGTAGTTTAATTATTTGTTATTTGTATAAGAAGGACTATTTCTTGAGATTCTACTATTAAAATAATGTTAAATGTTTCCAGCATCTTGCTATGTGTTTTGCACTGTTGCCATCTTGTGGTGGTGGAGGAAATCAAGGAAAAATACATGCTGCTGCTTGGTTAGAACAGATGGACAAACTATTGGGTGTTATGCACAGTATTCTGGACTCTCTCTATGAACAGTTAGAAAATGGTGGGTTTTTTGATACTATAAATGGCAACTTGTGAGTGATGGATTTGAAGATGAGATCGCTTTTCGTGTAGGTTTGATACAGTAGATTAAAGAGTCTAATTAATTTTGAAAGCTGTTTATATCAGTACTAAATTATGTTTAAAAATCGTAAGTTTCGACAAGCATAAACCACACTGTGTTTTCCTTGACCTTTTCCATCCGTCTTCCGAAGCTAGCTGCTAATTCCAGCCACTTTTCAACTCCATTACTCTTCAAGTTATAATAGGTCATATGTTGTCTTAAAAAAGATAATTGCAGTGCTATTTATTTATGAATTCATAAAAAAAGGTTCATCATTTTTGAGTTTATTATTAATTTAGGCCAGACTCTTAATGGCTAGAAAATATATACCTTATGGCTGAAAATATACAATTTTCTGCCAGCACAGAGAAAATTACTGGTAAAAGGTAAACAGTTTCATGGGGAGTCATGAAGATAGTTGTTGCTTCAGTTTCTGATAGCATTTACTGTTGAATAATAACAGTACGAGGGTTTAACATTGGATAGTCTTAGCTTGCTTGTACAAGTAAGAAACCTTTTGATTTCATTCTGGACTTTGGATGAATTTTAAGCAAGTACATGTCTTCATGAATGTCTCTCTCCCGTTAACATAAGTTCTTTCTTCTCCGGTAAAATATATTTTTGATGGGAAATGTGTTTGAAGGTATACAATGACAAAAAACCTTCCATTATAAATCTATTTTACCAACTGATATAACCATTAAATAAGTCCTTTCTGCTGAATTAAGGTTCAGAGATAAATCAACAAATAAAAGTATAAAGAAAGACTATCCCTACTTCTAAAGAATATATAATTATGAAAAAAATGGATACAAAATTATTAAAACATTAACAGTTCATTAATATAAGTGAAAATGAGAATCCCAAGTAACTTTATCTCTTCTCATTTCACTGTGCAAAAATATAGCTTAGGTTACGATGTCTAAATTCACGATATTGGAAAAACACATAGGTTCAAGAAGTCTTAATATAAAATGATAAAAACACTACAAATCGAGCACTTTCACAAGGTGGACCTTTCAGATTCAGTTTGTCCCTGAAGAAGAAAAGTCCACCTTTCAAAAGCACTCAGGTTATCAGGGTTTTAAAGTTTTAATACCACTTGAGTTGTGTTTAAAATACACACACACCAAAATATTATAAATAAAAAAAACTTATAAAGCGAGTGTGAATAAATATTATATAAATAGTCAAAATTAGTTATAAACAAATCTTAAATATTTTAATTTAAATCTTTTTTAAACCATATAGCTTAGTATCATTACTACCATTAATAGAATAGATATAAATAACAGAAGTTATTTCTAAAATTAGTGTTTAGTTGTGCAAAATAACTTTTTTTTTCATCCAGGTGGATGATTTGTTAAATACATGTAGTTATAACCTTGAACTCCTGCACAGTACTTGCAGTAATAATAGTAACCAATGACAGGCTTTAAGTACATAATGGAATACATAATTTACAATTTTCAAATGTAGGGAGACTTTTTATACAAATCATCCTGCATGCTCTAATCTAGGATTTTTTTGTTTTCAGAACATTATACCGTGTTTAGTCACCTAAATATTGAAAATTGCTTTTTTTTTGTTTTTGTTGTAAAGTAAAAATAAAATATTCTAGTGTTTTGTTTTCTTTATGATTTCTCATCTACGTAATAATTTCGCTGATTTTAAAACTTTCAGTATGGGATTGTTTTTAAATGAATAGAAAAAATGTATTACTATTGCATAAAGTCTGATGTTTATCTTACAAATTTAGTACCAAAAACTGACAAATGAAATGACAGCAAATTGTAATTCGTATGAATATAAATTGTTTTAAACTTTATAATATCTTTTATTATAAACTTAAATTACTAGAACAAAGTTTAGGTTTCATCTATAATTGATCATAGGCTAATGTAGTCTTTAATCTTGTATCATACTTTACTGTTCTCTCTGTAGTAGCTTTTATAAAATGATGTTTCACTAAAGAGAAAAAAAAAAGACATGTTTAAAAGTAGAACTTGAAAAATTATTTTTATTGCCGAGGGCAACTTTTCCTATTAATATTTATTGTTGAAGTTGCAACATATTTATTCTACTACACCAAATCCAATTCTAGGTAAAAGTGATACTCAAATATAAGTAGTAAAGTCTTACATTTGTAATGAAATTATTAAAAATACCTTTAATAACAAAGAAAAAAATTGTCAACATTTAATACGAATTATTGTCATAAGAATTTAGCCAGCAAGATGACTATTTTTTCCTTCTTTGTAGTGATTTCGTCACTGTTTAGTTCATATGTTGTTGTTTAAAGAAAGTGAAAAAAATATTTTTACAATAAGTTTTGCAGGAATTATTCAGCATAGGTGGTAATAAGATGTGATCAACTTTCCATGTTCACCTTTCAGATTCAGTTTAAAGAACAATTTACAACCATATGAGTAATATCATCATTTTTGGATTGACAAAATGTAGCATAGATATGGTCTAAAAATAATTGCAAAATTTTTCTAATAAAAATTGTTGTCCTTTGATTAAAAAAAAACGATGGGCCAGGTAATAGTAAATTGTTTCTTTTGTTATTCTTACAAATACAGAAAACATTATGATTTTGTGAAAATACCTGTATTTAAAAACACAAAATAGGTTTTTTTTAGAAGCCTTTATTTTGTGTGTGTGTGTGTGTGTGGGAGGGGGGGTAACTTTAGGTAACGAACAATGTTAGTTTGCTATCAAACTTTTTTGATCCACAATGGAAAATTTGAAAAAAGGAGAAAATATGGCAAATTGGTAACAGGAATCAAACTGAAAGGAGTCAACATGGAAAGTGGATCAACCATTTATGTGATATATATGGATGGTTAAAAACAGGAGTCAACATGGAAAGTGAATCAACCATTTATGTGATATATATGGATGGTTAAAAACAGGATTAAAGTGA